TTAGAAGAACTAGAAAAGGGACAATAGGATGTTGCACACAATTATTTACCTATGGATAATGAGTCATATTGAAATAAAGAAACCAGTCTTTAATAATCTTAGATAGTTTAACTAAAGGCCTTTGAAGTTGGTAGAGGAAGAAGAATGGGAAAGCTTGGACGATCATTCTTTATTATTTTCAGTCGGCAACTCCTTAAAAGTTTTCCATCTCCTATAATTTTATTTTTTTCAATAACACCATCTAAACTCATATTCATTATCATTTATCACAAGAAACACATCTACTTTATATAATTTTAACAATTTCATGAACCCTAGTTTCCTTACAATTCAGAAATTTATATGATGTACTCTTAAAACATAATTAAACACGAAATTCTTGTCTAAAAACAACTCACCTAGAAGTTTTGAACCCAAATCAAGTGTCACGGTTTTAACTAATTTGCTATTCACCTTCTTTCTCCTTAAATTCTTCGGCTATTGCTATGTTCTCTTCATTGTTTCTTTAAGAATATTTAGTTAGAATCACTCATTCACTCCTTATTTTCATGTTTTCTTCTTAAATTTTCTCTCTTTACTAAAGTTTTTCCCTTCCTCATATTTCTTTTTTTTTCCCAGCATCCATTTAGTTATAAAGAAAGAAAAAACTGAATTTTTCTAATTTTTCCACTTATTTATGAAATTGTAATTAGTAAGTATACAAGGTATTTTTTTAATTTTGTTTGACTACTTCTGATCTTATACAAGCTTCTTGAACTTTAATTACTTTAGAATTGTAATCCAAGGTAGGAAAAAATGTCAAGAGGCTGCTTGCGAAAGTTCAGCTTAATCCAATAGTTAAATTAAGAGTTATACTCGATACCATAAAACTGGTCAATATGTGATTTTTCACAAAAATCTAAATTTTTTTGTTTAATCCTTATATAAATCAATTATTCCTCTAAACTCATGGGGCTATTTTATCATTGTAAAAAATATAATTATTTTTTATTTTTTATTTCTTTACTAGACTTATTATCATTTCACAATAACGTTACTATTTTTAAACTAATATTTATACCATCACTCTTTCCCCTTTGCTTTGTATTATATTTTTTTTATAGCTTTACATTTATTACTGCACTAATTTCTTGGTGTCATTTTGTCATTTTCTTATTCTTTTACCCACCAAAACTCATTATTACTTCTGTTGATGTTATGAATTTTAAGCTAAAATTCAAAAATTTTATTTTTAACCTTAACAATGCTTCTTTATTTATTTATAGAGGTCACCCCCTCCATTATGCATCACAATTCTTCTTATTATTATTATCATTATTTATCCATTCTTTTTCTTCTCGGGTTTTTGTTACTCATTGAAATTTTACTATTTTCAGTTTTACATTTACGCTGAGGTTTACAATTATCATATTTCTAATAGTTATATGATAAAAACAACACCAATATATTAAATTAAAAAAATTAAATTAATTTAACATGATTTGTTTTGTATTTATTTAAATTTTAAAGTCCTATAAAATTAACTTTTTATATATTTTATATCATGAATAGTATATAATTAGAGAATTTTCCATTATATTATTCTTAATGATATGTGTTTACAAAAATAAATAAACATAAGTTTTCTCTTAATAAAAAAAATACTATTTATATTTGTGGATATAATATTGAAAATGCAAAAACAAATAATATTGGAAATATTGCAATAGATACCGAGGTACATTTATTCACTATTGACAATATATGGTAAGCTGTAACTTAAAAAAATAAAATTATTTTTATCTCTTTGAAAAATAAGCAGTATTTTATATAAAAATATTAAAAATCAGTGTTTTAATGAATCAATTTGAAAAAAAAATATTGTTGAGGCCATTAAGAATCAATTGACTAAGAACTCATATGGCAACGAGATATACCGCGGGAGCAAGCCGGAATGTTTTTCTCATTTTGCTCTTGAAAAAAGAATTTTTATTGTTTGCTTTAAAAAAAAGGGGGGTAAAATAGTTATTTTACAGGATATAAATGTCAATGTATAATTGTTGGAGGGTGTAAACAGTTTTTTAGTAAATGTTTTGTACTTGAAAATACTACAATGCCCTTGAACAAGAAGAAAAAAGAAAAAGAAATTCCTCTTCCTCAGGGGTGTAATGAGATTTCCTGTTTTTTATTTTTTTTTCAAGAGTATAATTACTGACATAAATTTTTTAAACCTTTTCTTTAAGGGTTTTTTTAATATTTTTTTAATATTTTTATGTTATTATCAAATATTTTTAGGGGTATTTTTTACTTTTCATACATGATTGTTTTTATTAATTTGGGGTTTAGAAGGTGTTGTTTTAATCTTTCAATATATATAAAAAAGGAAAGTTGCAAATATATGTGGTGTAGGCATAGGTGTGTGAGGTGCTCCATTGTATTTGAGCAATGCATATGGTGTCTCATAGCTAGAAACAAATATCATCTAAGGTGTATTTTAATTTCTCATGATTGTGCCAACCATGCTAGGTGATATGTGTATGTCTATTCACGCTAGTTTGGTCTTGACCTACTTTTTTTATTCTTTCATTTTTTTTCTTGGATTGCATGCTATCCATGCAAAACATTATACCATCCCTTCAAATTCTTATTTCTTTTTAGTCCCTCTTCTTTAAATTTTAATTTTTTATTTACATTGATTATTTTTAATTGGATTTTATTTTCAATTTCATCCCTAGTTATTTAATTTTTTTATTTTTTTTTATCAAATTTGATACTCATTCTTTTAATTGCTATTTTTTTATTTTGAATTATTTTCTTAATTGATTGTTTTTTTTCAATTACATCCCTCAACATTTATTTTCATTTATTTTTTATGTCAAATTTGGTTTTAATTCTATTAATTGCTATTTTTTAATCATTTTCTTAATTATTTTTTTTAATTACATCCATAAATATTTAATTTCATTTAATTTTTATGTCAAATTTTGTTATAATTATTTTATTTTCTATTTGTTTTTGTTTTGAATTGTGTTTTTTATTGATTTTTTTCCTCAATTTCATCCATCAATATTTGTTTGATGAAGAATCCTGCTTCTATATTTTTTTAGGGTTTGCTTTTAATGGAGTCACTGCGGTCTCTTGACTTGGGTCATAAATATAAAATATTAACTCGAGTCAATTTCGGTCTTTTTTAAAGCATTTTTTTCATATATTTTGTTTTGCCAATATTTTTTTTGCTTTCCTATTTGATGTCATCTTAATTTCATGTTTTAAATCATGTGTTTAATTTGTTGATCTCTGTTGGCTATCGGGTTTGCTAGAGACTTTTTTGCTATCTTTATTTTATATCTTTTCATTATATCGACAAGTGTTTATTTTTTTACATTTTAAGTTCAATTTAAATTATTTGAAATTATTCAACTCAAATGGCTCGATGACCCGCGTCTTAAATTTTCTTTGAGTTACTTAAAAATGCTAGTGCCTTGAAGTTTTTTTTGTGTTTGTGATAATGTTTGTTTACCCACAATGTAGTGATTAAACTAGTTTTTAAATATTCACCTGATTTTTTTATCTTTTATTTTTTTAGGGATTTTGCTTTTTTTTAACTAATTTTAAATATAATCCAGGCTTTTTCAAAATTTTAAATTCATCATTTTTGTTAAACTTATGCCTTATTTTAAAGGAAGTTTGATTTTAAATTAAATTAAATTAGTTGTTTCTTTTTAAAAAATATATCATCCAAAACACCACCATCTTCATATTTATCTTAACATCTTTTTTAACGTTAAAAAATAAGCTCATATATATTGTCACGCAAATCATTTTCTTCCTAACTTAAAAAAAATATTGATTTGTTAGAAAGTTATACTGGACAAAAACATATTGGGTGACATATTAAGATGACGGCGGCACCTTTAATTGACTCGAATCAGTTATAGTTCATCTGTGAAATCTAAGATGTAAATTAAATTAAATTAATTGATATGATGTAGGCATAGGATTCTAGTTTTGTTATATTTTAAATGTGCTTGCAAGGCATAATTTCATCTTTTATTAATTTTTTAGTGCTTTATATAAATTAACTTTATTTTTAGGGATAAAAAAAATTATTTTATGGAAAAAGATAAGCTTTATGATAAAGAAAAATACATTTACATTAAATGAAAATCTTGGATTTAGATACCAAGCTTATCTATCTTTTAGTTTTACTAGATAATTTTCTTTTATTTTTTTTTAATTCATTAGTGTGAGCACTTGCAGGTCAAATTAGAACTCCAACATTTTTTTTAGGTGGTTTTGAATTAATTTAATTAAATACATGCATGAACTTTTTAATTTATAATTATAATTTTTTTAAAAAAAATGTTAAAAAAATATGCACTCTAATTTTTCTAATAAAAAAATTACAACTCATAACGAGGTATAGGTTAACTATTTATTTAGTTAGATATGGTCTTTTTAATTTATTATTTAGTTTTTTTTCCCTTGAAAAAACATGAAGAACATAGCCATTTTCATTTTAATTGTTCCCCACTAGAAAACTAAAATTAAATAACTAGTACAATCTATATTTTGAATGAAAAGGCACCAAAAATAACATTTTTGGATGTGAAACAAAGGTTGCATCATAGGTGCACCATATAGCCAAATAGAACCTGTCATATTAATGTCTAGTTTTATGTGATTCAATATTTTATTTCTTGAAAATACCAAATCAGGCAATTGAATGGATCATATGTGCTGGTCTTTTTAAGATAACAAAATTTTTTTGAAAATTATGATTTAGTCCTTGTAGCGTAATGAAACTAATTAATTAAACCTCATAGTTTAAAACCATATATTTAATCCCTACATGTTCAAATTCCATATTCTTTTCAATTTTGTTTCCCTTTGAAAAATAGAATAAAGAGAAGAGAAGCAGGAAAGATGGGAGATCTTGATTAGAAAAGGACTTGTTGCAACAAAAAAGAAAAATTGAGGATGAACTATTAAATATTTCTAATACTATAGGGACCAATTAATTAGTCTCCATAGATTATATGGACTAAGTTATAACTAACTCTATAAATATTATTCCCACAAACTCTGAACAAGCACAAATTGGAGAAGCTATGTTACAGGCAGAGTTGCAACTCAACATTCATCAGCTGAACAGAGTCAGAGAATCACATAAAACAAAAACAAAAAAAGCGATACAAAAGAAAATCTTGTTATCACAACAGTTTTGGGTCAAAAATCAAAAGATAAACTGTCAATGAACTATGTTTTCTAGTTTCTTCTCACGAACCAAATATAACTAAAGAAATGCAGCTTCAGGGGGGAGGTGGCACAGGCTCAAACAGTGGAGGGCAGCAGCATGAGAATAGGCCACAGCAGCACAGAAACCATAAACTGCAAAATGTGGATATTCCCAGTAACTAACAAATAGAATACTACAATGTCAAATTCTAGCTACCAATGTTGCAGTTTCCTCCAGATGTATAAATTTAAAAAGAACAAGAACGACTTACCATGAATCCAAGCATCCTCCTTCATTGTGTGGTGGACCAAGCAGTGGAACAGTAGATGGTGGTGGTGGAGGAGGAGGATCCATTGGTGAGTTAAGACGACGGACAATACCTCAACTACTGAAGTATTAACTGGTATCCTCTCTTTGTGGAAGTTAGATGGTAGATATTAATTGGCAGAACATTATGCAACATCCTTTCTTCAGGTCACACCTTCAACTACCATTCAAAGTTAGGCAATAGAATTGCAAAAATGGACGACCCAACTAATTATTACACAGAACAAGTCAAGTGCTCAACATGGCTACCACTGCACATGGACATCTACTGATACTTGACTTACCAGAATATACATACACCAAAAAACACATTACAGAACCAAGTTGCTTCCAATGGCAATATAATATTTGATATTGAATTTGATTCAAGAAAAAAAAAAATCGCAGTCATGAAGGGTGCCGACAATTTAACTTCCAAACTCAAGAAATTCAATTGGATAAAAGCTAAAGATTTTTAAAGATCTTGTGATAGAAATTATTTTGTCACCTATAGCCCACCGAAGAAAGATTTTTTATTTGGTTCAAAAAAAAAGTGAAGCATGACCACTCCTATTTCTCAAATCTATCTACGAAGTTGTTGTACTTGATTAAAAAGAAACGTTTTTAATCAGAATCATGAGAGCTCAAACTTGAGCTTGACATCTTGGCAAGCCCTAACTTGAAAGCTTGCTTTCTATCAGAATTTGCCACACTATGTTTTTCTTTCTTGGTTTTTTTTTTCCTATTTAAAGCATTTCACAGCAAATGAATTTGACATATCACATATGTACCTGAGCACTGTTCCTCATACAAAAAACTAAATCAACTTCTTTGTAAGATGAACCGTGAAGCCATATCATATTACCAAGTTTTCTATAATTTTTTCTGTACATGATCAATTCTATACAAATCAATAAAGAAATGACCAAAAAGTTGCATGCTTCTCAATGTAAGAAACCAAAAGTTGTACCGCCAAACTGCAAAGTGCCTGAAAAAAATGTTTTTTGCCTTCATAGGGAGCAGCTTTTTCATGGAGATTTAACATTAGCCATGCAGAATGATTCTAGCCGAGGCTCAGTTAAGTCCACGGCCTCATCATCCGAGGAACGCAAACTCTGAGCTTTTGAAGTCAAAAGTATTAACCTCTCCATATACTTGATTGAATTATTATCTGCCCCTACATTGTTGCTTCCAACAAAAAGGTCGTGTTCTACATCTAAAGCTGACTGTTGAATTGACCTGTCTGGCTTCAGTACTTCCTCTGCATCAACAAGACCTTCAGCTCGACTGCAGGGTTTTTCTTTGAACAGCTCAGTTTTCATTCTCTGGATTGAAGTCATCTGCATAAGACATAAGCACTGACATTTATAACATTGACCAAAAGGATAAATGTACATGTCAGGGGAAGCATTCTAGGAAATTTCAAGACAGTAAGATTGGTAAGCAGGGACGAGTGCACTCAATCACTGACACAAAGAAGCATGCTTTGCTTTCATCTGTGCTCTCAGAATCTTAGATTCAGCATTACGTTTATCTCCTTAGAGATTAACTAAATGAATAAATGAGAGCTGGATTTGATACTTAATCAAAAAACATAAGATTTTGGAAAGTAATTTTTTTTCAGAAATTCCACTTCCAAAAGGAACACAAAATCCAAGAAATTGAACACAGAATTTACACCTAGCATTGAGATGGTTCTCATTGTTTACCAGGAATAGTAAGAAAAAACCATCACAAATAGTTGTCACCATGAAAGAAAGAGACATAGTAAATAAAAAAAACTTGACTTGCTATAATACATTACCTGAAAAAGATTCACAGGAATGTTTCTCCTATTGGATTTTTCTGGTGCTATAGTTGAGAGGATTTGTACCACCTCACCCATGCTTGGTCGAGCATCAGGACCCAACAGCAGGCACTCCTTTGTCAGGTAAGCCATTATTTGCAACTCTTCTTCTGGGAAATTCCCTCTCAATCGTGGATCAGGCAACTCTAGTAATACTAGCCCACTAGCTGGAGAAGAGGAATATAAACTACACATCAGTAATAGTAATCTGCAGGCACAATTATGCTTAGCATACTTGGGAGAACGTTTTCTATGTTTACATAACATCAATAATGATTCATCTGCCAAAGACATCTTTGGCATCATCAAGGAATATCACAATTTGGGATAGTCAGGTTGAGTAGTTTTTTGAGCTAATTAACCTGCGGGTATGAAGTATAATACATGCAACAAAATCAAGATTCTTTTTACCCAAAAGACAAGGCTTTCTTCTCCTTCGTTGGTTGATTTATGGATTGGATGCCGACCAGTGATAAGTTCAAGAAGAACTACCCCAAAACTGAAAACATCTGATATAAGAGAGGCTCTTCCAATCATTGCATATTCTGGTGCGAAATAGCCAAATGTGCCCTGCATTCTTGCTGGAGAACTGGGACTGCTGGGAACTCCATCACCTCTTAAACGTTTAGCCATACCAAGATCAGTAATCTGCACATTTTGTTGTCAGTGTAAGGTTATAGATGTTTGATTGCATTTATTCAACTTAGTTAATTGAATAAAAACATTTTCATATCTAATTAATATTTGACAGTTGTCTCATCTAAATTTGCAGTCAGAAAATTTTTGTTATGGTATTCTCTCATGAAAAGGATGAAAAAGGGGGTAGGATTGAAGTTCAAGTCCCATCCCTGCTAAAATATGTTGTGTTTCTATTTGGAGTAAATATTTTCAGCAGAGACCTAAAGAAGAAGATTATTACTTTTGCCCTCCAGTTGTCATCCATAAGAATATTGGTTGATTTGACATCTCTGTGCAAAATTCTTGGAGCAGCTGATTCATGAAGATATTCTAAACCCCTTGCAGCTCCTATTGCAATAGTAACACGAGTTTGCCAGTTCATTTTTTCCCCTAAAACCCCATCCAGACAGTCCCTCAGGTTACCATTAGGCATGTGTTCAAATACCAGCAACCTCTCAGAAAACTTCCCTTGGAACTCCGAGCAGTAGCCAAGCAAAGGCACAACATGACAGTGATGGAGCTCTGCTAACAGCTCAACCTGTGCAAAACAACATGAAAAGGTTGTATGTGACTTGTGGAGCACATACTGATCTGCTGTTTACAATTCAATGAATAACTAAATACAGAAGTTGGTGTTTGACAATAAGGAAAATGGGGTACCAAGCAGAGGCGGTACCTCTGTTGAAAAAAAGGGAATCTGCAGCAGGACCACCTTGAGCTTTCAGCCGCTTAACTGCCACAGTCCTACCGTCCTTGAGCTGACCACGGTATACATAACTACTTCCTCCAAGTCCAATTAGATTAGAATAGGAGAACTTATTGGTTGCATATTCCAACTCAGAGTACGTGAAAAGGATTAAATTTCCATGTATAATCTCCGTTTTGCTCCTACACAAGAGAGAAGCCTTGCGAAAATACCCTGAGAAAATGAACAAACACTTGAACGACAAATCATGACAAGCAATAGACAATTGATATGTCAAACTTTGATGGCAACCAATTCAAGTTGATCATTCACTTATAAACATAACAAATGCTACCCACCTGATATAGGATTAATGGGAGAATCAACCCTGATTTTAGTTTCAGACATTGAAGATGCTCTGTGACTAATTAAGTTAGTAGCACTATGGCAACTCCTTTCCCTGTCTGACAAGGATAAGGCACTTGTCCTTTCAGTAGAGATAGCATGTTATTGAAGCAAGAAATGCAAGAGTTGTGACTATGACACATAATAGTAGGATGACCACAACTATCTTGCTGGAAAAATGTTTTCTTGTATCTTGAACATCAGTAAGAGAACCTCTTAAGAAGCAACATATGCGAATAGGTCAGGCTATGGATGACTCATCTTACAACTAGCCAACGGTTTTAAACACAAAATTGAACCAACAAAAAAATCATAATTAAAAACATATAAATATGTCATTTGAATAAATACAAAAATAGAGTAAAATTTTGTTCTTATTACATAGTATCTGGACAACCCGATTGATGTTCTTTATGGTTATTGTTAATGCAGCTTCAATAGAAACTCGAGAGAAAGAACAACGTTTTAAGTGATTGGATCAGTATGATATTAGTCAAATTTGTCCCTGTAACAAGAACATGGAGAAGAAAAAGAAATAAAATACAATGATAATGTATATGAGTGTGTGTATAAGCACATTATGTATGTAAAGCGTGGCCTATCTCACTTAACATCTGTTCCTATAATGCACTGTAGAGATGCACAAAATAAATCAAATCATAAAGATGTGAATTGTCCATCGACAATAGCTCTTAGTTGCATCTTGTAGCGAAAACAGCCCTGAAATCTAAAACCTATTGTCAAGTAGAGAAATATAAAAGACAAGCACAATCAATCATACAAGAGAATTCATGGAATTCAGCAATTTAGACTTACTTCATGGATGAGACAACCGGAGAAATTCACTTTAAAGAAGTGAAGGTTACAAAGTGTCAAACAAAATTGTTCTCACACCTAAAATCCCAAAGTACCCCAAAACTCACTTTTTCACTTCCCTGAAAATGTAAACACTCACAAATAAGTCTTAGCCTAAAATATTACAACTTTAGGTTTTTATACGGACCATGTATGGGTATTTCTTCTCTCATTGGGCCCACAATTTAAGATAAATCCAACAAATCTCTACATTGACTTAAAATTAAGCCAATTTACGAAACTTGAACTCCTCTTTAATTTTCTCTACCAAGCACCTCTCAAGTGCCACACAAGCCAATCAAGTCCTTTGTCAACGTTGTTGCAGGAGCCGAGCAAACCACACAAGCCAATCAAGTCCAAGCAATGCTTGAACTTGACTGCAGTGATTGGTTTTGTCAACGTTGTTGCAGGAGCCGAGCAATCTTCTTTACTGTTACAGAACACCTCCTATTCAGATTTCAGCTTCATTATCCCGTATAAAATCTAATGTTGAAACAGAAACGTAGATTATTGAAAAACCTGCTAGATCCATGATTGAAACAGAAAATAATTCAAAGCTAATTAGGGTGTTCAGAGAGATCATTTAGTTGTTGAGCTTTGCTGCATGGCCTTTCTTCCTTTAACATCAAACAAGTTGTGAAGTCAAAAAACTATCCAGAAGATATTCTAGAGGTTATACACCATGAACAATCAAATTTTTAAATATTTGCTAAGCAGCATCCAACAGACTAAATTATACAGAAAGAAAAACACTGCCACAGGAACCAAGTACCAGAAGTGCAGTTGCAGGCTGTAAAACAGGTAGTATCTTGAATGCCAGTGGCAACTTTTGGTAACCCATCGGAAGAACATGTACATGTCCGCATGCCTCCACTTTGTCCACCATCTGCTTCGTATGAGATTAATCATGCATCAAATATAGACAATATAATCAATAATTTTCAAACAGAAGAGAATGTTTTCAAGACCCGGAAATTACTCGTGGTATTAAGTTTTAAAAGTGCATGGATCCAAATAAAATTAGTCTTTCACCTATCATAAAAATGTTCATTTCAAGAACAATAAGTTAAAGCATATCAGAGAGTAATACAGTCCCTCATGAATCTGCAAGTGGAGGTTCCACAGTATACAACTTAAAGCAAACTCAACTATTATCTATGAGAAAAACCTTTTACTTCTTTTTATGGTTGCCATGGTCACCAAAAAAAACAATTTACAAATATTAAGAACCAGCGATCATTTATTAATGTCCTTGTTATTTCCTAAGTGAACATAATGTTATTTCGTAAGTGAACTTAATATTATAATTAAGAATCAGACTGACAGAGGCGGAACCAAGGGGTAGCGAGCAAGGGCCCGGCCCCTGCAAAACACCCCTACAAAATATTTTAGAATTTTTGTATTTAAAATTTAATTATAACAAGTAATGGGTTTTTTAATAATACATTATTATTTCATTAGTTATCTTCGAATTTAAAATTATCTCTTCATGTAAGTTGAAAAAAATAAATAAATAACCTTTTCAATTTAATTACTTTTCTTTACCGTTTCTCTATCTTCCTTCTCTAGAGTTCTAACCAAAAATTATAATAATACAAAGCAACGAGAAAAGGTTAAAACAAAGTTGACAATTAATTTATTATTTATCAAAACAAGATAATTAATGATCCAAATTTAAAATCTTTTGTTTTTTATGTTTGTTAAGAATTTAATGTGGTTTATATATATATATATATTCTTTGTATTTTTTATTATAGTGAATGTCATTTTTTTATTGAATTGGATATATTTTATGGGTTTATTTTAATTATACTTGGATTTTTTTATGTTCTGTCTTTAACAGAACCATTAAAATTATCAATTATTTTTATATGTATCTTACTATCACCGGGTCTAATATACAATTAGACACGATTTTTCTAGTTAAATTAAGTTATTTAAAGAGCATGTATTCAATTTTAATTCAAGTTAATTTTTTTTTTTAAGAACCAATAATTCTATTTTTTATGTTAGATTTGCTTTTATATATTAGTTTTTTTATCATGTTAATTTTGTTTTTATACACCAGTATGGTTTACATATAAAAATCTATATCTTATTATATTAGTAGACTGAAACTGTCATGATTTCTTTGGTAGCTATCCAAACAGGGTATGTTTCATGGTTTGTTTTTTTTTTTTCATGGGTGAAGAAAGGGGAGATTTTTCGTGGTTAATAGTTATTAGTGTAAGAATGAGACTAGTAGAGTATGCTTTGCCAACTACTGAAAAACACTATTTAAAAAGTCAACAATTTTAGAACTTCTGGACGGTTATACCATAATGAGCAACGGCATACCCGGACTGCAATCACAGGATGAAGAACAATTAGATTTAATATAGCTCTGATTTCCTTGATATGATGCTGAACATGTAAATGTCCAATTGTTGATGCCTGATTTAGCTGAAAGTTCATCTGCACCATCCAATTAACTAGAAATGAAACATCTTGCATTTATGTGGATAATGAAAATTTAAGTGCAGCTCAATGCATCAGGCCTTTACACATCAAAAAATGCAGCAAATTTGCAATCAAAGGAACATCTAATGCAGTCTAGGCATCTCTGAGCAAAAACCTTCAAGTAACAGGTTCCACTCTTGATGCACATGTGGCAGCTATGTTGACGCATCTGTTGGAATGAAACCTTTACTTAGACATGCTTGATGAGAGATACGTAGCCTTCCCAGGCTCATCCAGTGGCGGAGCCATAATGGAAATTAAGGGGCAATTGCCCCCTTAATTCTTTCTTTTTTTTTAATATTTTTTATATTAAAATTTTAATATAATAATTTAACAAGCTTTTCTTTTTTAAAAAAAAATTATTGTTCATACCTCCCTTTTCTTTTTTCTTCTACAATTGTTTTTTTATTATGTAAAATATTAATTAATTAAGTAACCTTTTATACTTTATGCTTAATATTTTAGGTAAATATCTTTTATTTTTTCTATTTATTTCATTGTTTAATTTTAATTTTATTCCTTAATAATATGATAATTTATGGATTTGCTAAATTAATATGTATTTTATACCAAGGAAACATGTAAATGGTATTTTATAGTCTTATCAATATACCAAGGAAACATGTAAATGGTATTTTATAGTTTTTAACTGTACTAAAAGGTGGAGAATTGAATGCTAAAGATGGAATGGATTAATTACTAACCAGAAAAACCCTGCTGGATCCAGATTAAGCCAATGAGAAAAGCAAGAGCAACTTTCAGCTGAAGCTTCATCTACTCAAACACTAGCATAAAACAAAAGGCGTCAACTCCATGTCAATTTTCTAGCTGTTCAACATACTAACAGTTAGCTTGGCAATACCAATATCTATTGGCCTAACAAAACAAATCTAAATCTGGTAAATACTCGCTGGAAAGAAAAGATAGAACAAGCTAAAAGACAAAAGCATCACCACATCACAAAGTTTAGTATCTAGGGACTTGCAAGGCATCTGACATTGAGTCTGCAAATGTCGCAGGAAATTATTCTTCCTACAACTGCAATAGGACTAAAATAGTTTGAAAGAAACAATCTTTCAGGATTTGTAAAGGAACAATATATAAGATTACATCATCCAGTGCTGTGTGTGTGTTGTGCTGGTTGGAGCCTAAAAGACCGACTAGTATTCAAAAAAAGAGACTCGTAGTGGAAAACAGAAACCTTCATTTGCTCATCCAACTTCGTCAATCATAAGGAATCCAATCTGCACCAAGCATATGATAGAAAAAGCTTAAGAGTACATATGATTGAAGTTGATAACTCAAAACATGAAATATAAAACTCCAGGAAGGATATACGAGAGTGATTAGAACTTCTATAAAATGAGGAAAAGAACTTAAAACCTATGGAAAAATTGCATGCTTTATACCGAATTATCCCTACAAATTCACACATTTCAAGATGATCTGAACATCAATAAAGACACTGGGTTCTCAATGTAATATTGCGTACTGGCACCAACAGTTCTAGAAACTGGTAGTTAGAAATTGGTAAATTCATGGTTGGCCAACAAACACTTTGCTTCCAATGATTTTCAACACACTAGGCAAATTATTGAAGCAAGAAATAGAAACACTATGCTAGATTATTGTGCTTAATTATGGTACTAACGACACAATTTAGTGATACATGCTCCACGGAAATTATCAGTCAGTCATCTACAGTTTTAAGAGTAACATCTAGCAAGATGGTGAAACGCGAGAATAGATAGCCCTTAAATGCAGAAGTGTCCATAGAAATGAAGGCAGGTAAACCAATCATTAAAAGGGGAGGCAACCCAGAGATACCTCCCTCAGCCAACTAATGTTTATAAACGACCCACCTAGCCTAGCCTAGCTAGCTACATGCATTTGGCCGGCAGAAATCCCATCAGGAGTAAAACATGCTCCATTCGCAATTAAACCATTTCCAAAGTAATTCTAAATTTACTTGATCGGTAAACAAACCAATCACAATTTAAGAGCAGCAAGTGAAGTAACAAGTCCAAAAGAGAAATGAGAATAAGAGATTTGACAGCCAGATGGATAGTGATAAATATTAATAGTACTGGTAAAAATACTGATGAATGAAGATTTGAAATACAGCAGTAGTTTAAAAGAAACAAGCCCATCAACCTCTTTGAAAGCAACTGAATTTCAAACATGAAAGTGACTCTTCAACCATTTTTAATCGACTAGCTTTATATTGGAAACTTCTTCTTCTTCTTCTTCTTTTTTCTTTCATTTCATTAACTAGACTTGGTTTATTTTTTAAAAAGTAATTTTTTAAAAATTATTTTTTAAATTTTCTCATGTTTATTTGTCATTATAAAAATTGATCAACGGAAAATACTTTCTGATCAACAAAAAATACTTTGGAAAATACTTTCCGATCAACAAAAAATACTTTTCAATTAAAGAAAAATTTGGCTTGGTTTTCAGAAAAATATTTTTCTTTTTAGCTGTGTTTGTTTTCTGAAAAATATTTTTTGAAAAATCACTTTCCAAACTTTCTTGTATTTGTTTGCCATTAAATACGTTGATCAACGAAAAACATTTTCCAGACAAAGGAAAATTTGGCTTGGTTTTTAGAAAACAAAGAAAAGTTTGGCTTGGTTTTCAGAAAAGTGTTTTTCTGGAAAATTTGGACGAAAAACACTTTCCAGAAACTGTGAAAAATTTAGAAATGTCATTATTTGTTGATTATATTAAATTTGATCCTTAAAATTTTGATTGCTATATATATATTTTTTTTAATATTTATTTTTTAATTTCATCTCTTAAAATTTAATTTTTATATTAACTTTGGTTCTTATTTTTAT